TGGTCGTGGCAGAGGTGGCCGTGGCTCCTCGCGTGGTGGCGGTCGTGGTCGCGGCGCTGGCAGGAACGGAGGCCAGGGTCGTGGCCGGAATGGAGGTCGGAGCTTCCTGCGTTGTCAGATTTGCGGTGCTACTGGCCATTCTGCTGTGACTTGCTTCCAGCGTTATGCACCGCAGCAGGCTGCTCCACGTGCGCATATGGTGTATGCGGCAGATGAGACTTCTTCGGTTGGTTCTCATAATTGGTTCCCGGATACGGGGGTCACGAACCATGCTACACCGGACCCGGGTTTGTTGACTACGACCACTGACTATGCAGGTTCGGATGTTCTCCGTGTTGGGAACGGTTCAGGTTTGTCTATACGTAGTGTTGGTCGTGCATCTATTTCTACTCCGTCCCGTTCTTTTCAACTTTCTGATGTTTTACATGTTCCTGGCTTATCCGCTTCGTTGCTTTCTGTTCAACGTTTTGCGACGGATAATCGTGTATTTTTCGAGTTTCATCCTGATTGTTTTTTTGTGAAGGATCTTACTACCAAGGCGGTTCTGTTCAAGGGGACTAGTTCTGGTGGTCTTTACTCGCTTCCGGTGTCCAAGTCTGGTCCAACTGCGTTGCTGTCTGCCCGTGCTTCTCCCTCGGTCTAGCACAATCGGTTAGGCCATCCCCATCGTCGTGTGCTCAGTCGTATTTTAAAGTCTTGTCCTACTTCGTCTGGTAGTTTCAGTGATTCTTTATGTTCTGCTTGTCAGTTAGGGAAGTCGGCTCGTTTTCCGCTTCCTCGTGTTAGTTCGTCTAGTTCGCATGTCCTTGAGTTATTGTATTCAGATGTTTGGGGCTCTGCGCCTTTGTTATCAAGTAATGGATCTCGTTATTTTGTAATTTTCGTTGATGATTATTCGCGTTTTACCTGGTTTTATCCTATGCGTCAAAAGTCTGATATATATGTGATTTTTGAGCAATTCCGTGAGATGGTAGAACGTTTCTTTTCGTGCAAAATTAAATCTATTCAGTCAGATTTGGGCGGGGAATATAAAAAGTTGCACTCTCGTTTTGTTCAATTGGGTATTTTCCATAGGCAGTCTTGTGCTTATACACACGAGCAAAATGGTCGTGTGGAGCGTCGTAATCATCACATTGTTGAAACAGGGTTGGCCTTAATGGCCCATGCTTCTATTCCCTCTCGTTTCTGGGAGTTTGCGTTTGAAACGGCGGTCTATCTTATAAACCGGATGCCGTCTTCCGTTCTCGGTGATGTTAGTCCTCATTATCGGCTACATTGCTCTCCTCCTTCGTATACGTTTCTTAGGGTTTTTGGCTGTCTGTGTTACCCACACTTGCGTCCATATAATCGTCATAAGTTAGATTACCGGTCTGCTCCGTGTGTTTTTCTCGGCTACCCGCCGTCTTTTCGTGGTTATAGATGCATGGACCTGAACACTAACTGTATTTTTGTGTGTAGACATGTTCGTTTTGATGAGTGCAGTTTCCCCTTTGCACGCCCTCCTGTTAGTGAGGGTTCGGTGGTCATGCATGTTCCTGCTGTTCCGTGGGGTGCAGCGGGTTTCTCACGGACTTCTGAGCCTCCTCCGTCTCTCTCTGTTGTTGGCTCGGTTGGTGTGCCGCCAATAGCTCCTGAGCGTGTGTCTACAGTCCCGTCTGTAGCTCCGGAGCGTGCTTCTCGGCCGATTGGGCGTCCTCGTTAAGCGGGTCCGGGGCCAGTCTCGTTCCCATGGTATGACTCTCTGGCATATGCCTCATGATCAGCCTCGCTGTGCTTTGGTGTCTCAGGTTATTCCCCAGGAACCTACTTGTTTTACTCAGGCTGTTCGTCATGCTGAGTGGCGTGAGGCGATAGATGCGGAGTTTAATGCTCTGTTGCATAATCAGACATGGCGCCTTGTTCCGGCTCAGTCTGGTCAGAATGTGGTTGGCTGCAAGTGGGTCTTCCGTGTCAAGCGCAAGGCTGATGGGTCTATTGAGCGCTACAAGGCAAGGCTTGTGGCTAAGGGTTTTAATCAGGTCCCGGACGAGGATTTTTTTGAGACTTTTAGCCCTGTTGTGAAGCCTACGACTGTGCGTCTGCTTCTGTCTTTGGCGTGTTCTCGTGGATGGGTGATTCGTCAACTGGACATCCATAACGCTTTTCTTAATGGGCGGTTGGCTGAGACTGTATACATGCGCCAGCCCCCGGGGTATGAGGATAAGGTTCATCCAGATTATGTGTGTTTGTTACAACGATCGTTGTATGGTTTGAAGCAGGCTCCTCGGGCTTGGTTCATGCGTTTGCATGAGTTTTTGGTGTCGGTTGGTTTTCGTCCCTCGCAAACTGATGTTTCGTTGTTTATATACTCTGTTGATGGTGTGTCTGTTTATCTTTTGGTGTATGTTGATGATATATTGATTATGGGTAGTGACTCGGCTTGTGTTTCTGCTTTGATTAGTCGGATGTCTACTGCGTTTAAAGTCCGTGATATGGGATCTCCTTCCTTTTTCCTTGGCATTGAAACTATTCCTGTGTCTGGTGGTTTGTTGTTGTCTCAGCGCAGGTACATGGGTGATATTTTGAAACGAGCTGGCATGGTTGACTGTAAGGCCTTAGTCACGCCACTCTCTGTGGCTAAGGTGGATACTGATTCTGTTGAGCCCTATGCTGATCCTACTCACTACAGAAGTCTTACTGGTGCCTTACAGTATTTGACGGTGACCCGTCCTGACCTGTCTTTTGCGGTGAACAGGTTGTGTCAGCATATGCACGCTCCGACGGTTGCTCATTGGGCTATGTTAAAGCGGGTCTTGCGCTACGTCAAGGGTACCTTGCATTTTGGCTTGCGCTTGTGTCGTTCCTCTTCAGATGTTCTGCATGCTTTTAGTGATTCTGACTGGGCTGGTTCGCCTGAAGATCGGAATTCTACTAGTGGCTATGCTATCTATCTCGGGTCCAATTTGATTTCTTGGTCGTGTCGGAAGCAGAGGACGGTGGCTCGGTCGTCAACTGAGGCAGAATACAAGGCGTTGGCCGATGTCGCGGCTGAGGTCACCTGGTTAGTTGCCTTGCTACGTGAGTTGGGTCTGCCTTTATCTGTGTCTCCCAAGCTGTGGTGTGATAACTTGGGCGCCACCTATCTCTGTGCAAATCCGATCTTTCATGCTCGCACTAAGCATGTTGAGATCGACTATCATTTCGTGCGTGATAAAGTGGCCAAATGAGGAGCTTCAGGTTAATTTCATCTCTACAAAGGATCAGGTTGCTGACATCTTCACTAAACCTCTGGCTGGTCCTCGTTTTACTATGCTGCGTGACAAGCTCAACGTTGTTAGTCACCCGACTTGAGCTTGAGGGGGAGTATTAGGAATACATCTTTCGGTAGTATTGTGTTCTATCTTGGACTCTTTATCTTGTGTATCCTAGATAGGTTTCTATTGTATTTATCATCTCTGGTTCTCGATCATTATTGAATACATAGAATACACGTTCTCATCACCTCGACCTAAGCGTCTCAACCAAGATTTATATTTTCTTTTTGAAACAAATATGATGAATTTAAATTTTTTAAAGATTTATGAGTTACATTATATTTAAAAATTCATTCTAAAAGAATTACTAATCTAAATTTTGATGATCTTCAATTTTCTTTTTCACTATAAATTGGAAGATGTCTCCCAATAGCAAGAAACTATAACAAATGAATATTAGAGGAATAGGAATCCTAGGAAATAGAGTAAGCAAATAATAAAATAGAATAGAAAGTTTATTTTATTATTTGGTTTGTGAAAGAGTATAGTAAACTTTAACGATATTAATAATAATAATCTTCTCTCCCTGGGATCTAGGGTTTTCTTATTCTCTCCCTGAGATCTAGGGTTTGGTTTACGTACATGCGACCGAAGACAACGAGGCTGATTGTTCTGCGCCATGGATGTTCAGGAGATTATTGCGCACACTGCCGACATCACGCTGGAGGATGAAGAGCAAGGAATTCGTTTCGAAGATGAAGCAGTTGGCGGCCCCGTTCTGCCGGCGACGAAACTAACCTGGACCATCGTTGGCCGTTTTTTAACGGATCGAATCATCAAGAAAGATGTGATGAAGCGTGTTATGGCTTCGGCTTGGAGACTACTCATGGGTATTGAGATAACGGATGTGCAGCCGAACCTATTCTTGTTCACCTTCTTCGATGAACCGGACATGCGACGTGTATTGGAGGAGGGACCTTGGGCGTTTGAGAATGCGACGCTGCTCTGCCAAGTCCTAAATGATGGAGAAGATCCGTTGCAGGTTAGTATGAATTCTGTTGACTTATGGGTTCAGGTTTCGGATATACCTCCGGGATACTGTACGGTGAAAGTTTTGGAAAGGATCGGTGACTATGCCAGCGTGTTTTTACGGTATGATGAACGCAACTTCGAGAGACAGTGGACGTCCTTCTACAGAATTAGAATCACTCACGACGTGTCTAACCCCTTGAAGCGGCGAATGAAGATGATTTTAAGGGATGGGTCGTGGACATGGATTAACTTTAGGTATGAACACCTCCATATGTTTTGCTTTTTCTGTGGGAGAATGGGGCACACGGATAAATTTTGCTTGCAAGCTCGCCGGTCATTGTTGAAACCGGAACAATACCCATTTGGCGTGAGTATGAGGGCGGCAGGTTCTAGTCCAGCGAAGGTGTTGGGTGATAAATGGTTCCAGTTGGGGCAAGAGAGGCGCCGTGAGATTGGTTATGGGGGTGAAGGCAAGGTTACGGCAGTAGGGTTCAGGAGTAGAGGGAGTGTGCAAGTTCGGGAGGAAAGAGTGGCCGTTTCTGAGATGGAATCGGAAGTCGAAGGAGTGGGTGGTGTGAGGGGCGAGGGAGTAGTAGGAGCGGGGGAGGGTATTCGGGTAGATCCAAAAAGGCGAAGGACGGATGGTGGGGCGTTGAGTGTTTTGAATGGAAGTATGGTAGTTGATTCTGATGCTTTGAATACGGCGGGACCTGTGGATCAGGCCCGCCAGTCCCAATGAGTACCTTGAGTTGGAACTGCCGTGGCTTGGGTAATCCACGGACAGTTCGTGAGATTGAGGACATGGTGTCCTGTAAGAAACCCGACTTTGTATTTCTAATGGAAACCAAGGTTAGCCGAGATCATGCTGAACGACTTCGGATTAAACTTGGTTTCGATGGTCTCTTTTGTATTGATAGTTCTGGATTGAGTGGAGGTTTGACTCTGTTGTGGAGAGCAAATAATACGGCAAGGTTGATGAGTTATTCCAAAAACTATGTGGATGTTGAAGTGAGTATACCGGGATGTGATAAATGGAGAATGACGGGATTTTATGGCTTTTCGCAAAGGGGTCAACGGAGAGACTCTTGGGACCTTATTCGTACTTTAGCTGGCAGATCAGATCTACCGTGGGTAATGATTGGTGACTTTAATGACTTGTTATTCCAATCTGAGAAGAGAGGTGGAAACCCCCATCCTGATAGTTTGCTTCATGGTTTTGGTGAGACTATAGAGGATTGTGGTTTAGCGCATATGCCAATGACTAGATATCTGTTTACTTGGGAAAAAGGAAAAGGCACACCAAATTGGATAGAGGAAAGGTTAGACAAAGTTTTGGCTAACCAGAGTTGGCGTGAGAAGGTGTCGGATGCTAATGTGCAGAATATATTGACCCGAAAGTCGGATCATTCTGCTCTTTTCCTTGGGATTCTGAATCTTCGGGAAAGGAGGGGTGGTTTGAAAAGAGGGTTTCGTTTTGAAATGGCATGGTTGCATGATGAAGGATGTAGAGAAGTGGTGGAAAAGTCATGGAATGAAGGTGGAGGAAGGAATTTGCAGGAATGTATTTCTTATTGTGGAAATCGTTTAGCGTGTTGGGGAGGAGATCGATTTCATAAGTTTGGTGAACGAATAAGGAACCTACGGAAGGAGCAGTTACGTCTGAGGGGGTGTAGTGACCCAGCATCATTGGCTGAATTTCAACGATTAGAGGAGTGCCTGAATCGTATTGAAGCACAGGAAGATGCATACTAGAGGCAGAGGGCCAAGCAGCATTGGCTTAAGGACGCGGATGCAAATACGAAATTTTATCACATGTATGCATCTCATCGCAAGAAAAAGAATACCATTATTAAAATTATGAATGATAATGGGGATTGGGTTGAGGGAGAGGCCATGAGGAATATTATCTTGAACTATTATCGGAATATCTTCAGTTACGGCTCTCTTAATGACAATGAGGATTTCTTTGGAAATATAGGCTCTCGGGTAACACAGGTACAGAATGAGACACTATTGCGACCCTTTGATGTTGTTGAGGTAAAGAATGCTCTATTCTCTATGTTTCCTGACAAAGCACCAGGACCGGATGGAATGAATCCGGGTTTCTACCCGCATTTCTGGGATGTAGTGGGTGGAGATGTGTCGACCTATATTGTGAATTGTCTTAATGCTCGTTCTTTTCCTGCTAGCCTGAATGATACGAACATAATCCTGATCCCCAAGAAGAAAAATCCTGAATTGGTCTCAGACTATAGACCAATAGCGTTAAGTAATGTGATCTATAGGATTATGGCTAAAGTCATAACTGCCAGAATGAAGCCACTGATGGGGGATATTATATCTGACACTCAAAGTGCTTTTATATCTGACAGACTAATAACAGATAATATTTTGATTGCTGCCGAAGTTGGTCATTTTTTGAACAGGAAGCAATGTGGAATCACAGGATGGGGGGCTTTGAAACTAGACATGGTGAAACCCTATGATCAAATGGAGTGGCCCTTTTTACGTAATATGATGCTAGCGTTGGGTTTTGATGAAAGGTGGGTGGAGTTAATAATGTTATGTGTAACCTCAGTCTCATATAGTATATTGGTTAATGGGACACGAAGTGAGCAAATCAATCCAACTCGAGGTTTGAGGCAGGGTGACCCCCTGTCGCCCTATCTCTTTATTATTTGTGCTGAAGGACTTTCATTATTGCTGCAACAGGCGCAGTTAAGGGGAGAATTACATGGTTGCAGAGTGGCTAGAGGAGCCCCCCTATCTCCATTTGTTCTTTGCAGATGACAGTTTACTCTTTTTTAGAGCAAATGTCCAGGAGGCTGAAATGGTTAAACAGTGTTTGTCAGTGTATGAGGAGATGTCTAGGCAAGCAGTGAATTATTATAAGTCAAGTATTTGCTATAGTAAGAACACACGAGATGAGGACATGGAGGAGGTTGCCAATATCTTAGGAGTTGTGCAGGCTCCAAATTTTGGGAAATATTTAGGGCTTCCATCATTTGTGGGCAGGAATAGAAAGGCATCTTTCTCATATATTGAGGACAAAATTAGACAAAGAATTAGGTCATGGAATAAGAAGTTACTATCACAAGCAGGTAAGGAGGTTTTGTTGAAAAGTGTGGCACAATCTATGCCCACCTTTTCAATGAGTGTCTTTTTACTACCTATGAATGTTTGCACAGCTATTGAGAGAACTATGAACCGTTACTGGTGGAGATCTAAAGATGACCAGGGCATCCACTGGAAAGCGTGGGATAGGTTGTTTATCACTAAGAAGTATGGGGGATTGGGCTTTAAGGAATTGCGCGCCTTTAATTTAGCCATGTTGGGGAAACAGGCCTGGCGTTTACTCACGAAACCTGAGTCATTGGTGTCAAGAATATTTAAAGCCAGGTATTATCCTAAAGGGTCTTTCTTTGATGCTTGTTTAGGGAATAACCCAAGTTTCTGTTGGCGTAGTATCATGGCTACGCAGGAATTAATTTGTGGAGTAGTTAGGCGCAGGATTGGAAATGGAAGGGCAACCCTGATATGTGATCACCCATGGCTTCAGGATGAGCACAATGCAAAAATAATTACTGAAAAACCACCACAATTGGCGCAGGCAACAGTTATGGATTTAATGGATCAGGAAACGGGATCATGGGATCATGACATTTTAACAGATATTTTTATTCCAGCGGATGTGGCACGAATATTGAAAATACCTGTGTCACCGGATTATGAGGATGTGTGGCATTGGTATGGAGACATAACAGGTGAATACTCGGTCAAAAGTGGTTACATGCAAATAGTGGGGAACTATGTTCAAACAACTGGGATGTTTGATAAATGGCCCAAATTATGGAAGCTCAAAGTACCCCCAAGATGGAAGACATTTTTATGGAAAGCCTTAAATGATATATTGCCCACTACAAGGAACCTGATTATAAAGAGAGTGGAAATTGATCCAACATGTGCTATGTGTGAGATCATGCATGAGGATACTATGCACTCTTTAGTCAGATGTGATTATACAATGAACATTTGGGCTCAATCTCACCTTCCAATCCCCAATAGTGTCACAGATATTTTTCATGTTTGGTTTAATGAAATATTGAATGTTCTAGATGATGATGGAATTGTTTATGCAGTGGCCCTATTATATTATATATGGCGAGCGAGAAATGGGGCTGTATGGGATGCATGCTTACCCAGACCACGGAAGATCATTGCTACTGAAACCACAACAATCCGGGCGTGGCAACTTGCACACCTGGGCCGCACGCAGCCGGCCGACAGAGGGACTGCCACGGTCAATACCGAACAAGCCCAAGGGGCTATCGCCCAGCCTGCTGCTGTTCGGCTTCAAAGCCGAGGGCCGAATGCTTTGGCCACCGGAACGCACACGGCCATCCCCTCATCCGTAAGCCATGGAGGCATGCGGAACCAATGCTACTTTGATGCGGCGTACTACCACAACACGAGCAAAGCGACTGTAGGGGCAATCCTCCTTGACACACAAGGATTGTATATCTCAGCTCTACAGGCACCGATGATAGACTGCTTCTCCCCTCTTATGGCAGAGGCGTTTGCATGCAAAGAAGTTTTATCTTGGCTATGGGATCGTGGAGAACGATCGGTCGACCTCTTAACAGACTGCTTGACACTTCAACAATATTTATCACTTGCGAAGGATTCGCCTCACTCATACCTTGGCTATGCTATTGATAGCTGCAGAAACCGAATGATTTCCTTTGATTATTGTTCACTCCGTTTTATTCCTAGATCAGATAATTACTTAGCACACACTTTAGCAACTTTTGCTTTTAATTACTCAGCTGCTATGTATTCGGACTCTGGCCCGCCAGATTCTATTTCAACTTACTTTCAATAAATGCCGCACAGGCTCTTTTCAAAAAAATAGTAAACTTTAACGATTTTATTTTACACTTAATTCTTTTTTAGTCATACTTTTACTAGGGTTGTCCATTTTTAGTTTACCATAAAAAATTTTGTCACATTTTGTTCACTTTTTTTCTGATCATACCACTTTTAGTCCTCCATCGTGTTTATCATTTGTTGACCGTCTAGACCAAGGGCATTTCTGTCTTTACAAGTTATCTTTTTTTTTTTTTTTATTTGTTTATCTTTTCACAAATAGCAAATATTTCTAACAGTGATATTGAGTAAAATTTTCTCTAATTTCACACACGGAACCCTCTAGAATCTTATATATTTTGCTATATGTAGAGAGTATATAATAATATAATATGATAATGAAAAGTAAAAATCAATATTTTTTTCAATCTTATTGTGGTAACTCTATATAACTTGAGTAAAGTATGGACCAAACAACATTTAGATTATTTCCGATGCAGCATGAGTTCTGAAACCACTAGCTAGTACGTGCATGTCTCGGCTTGCAAATATGGGCTTAAACTCTAAATCTCAGGTCCCTCACCTCCTGCCTTGGGGTTGCGGGATGCATGTGCATTAGTAACTCAGGGTCTGAGTACTTGCTTTTTGCCTTAAGGCTGAGATCCTTCCCTATTAAAGATTCAAACTCGGGTATTTGCTGGGTCACTACACCCACACTCAACCTTTTGAGTTTTGACCACTGAGCTATATATGCCCCGAGAGCAATCGGCCCACAAATTAAACATGTTTGTTTATGAGGGAGTATGACTTAAGTTTGCATGATGCAGATTGTTAGGATCGGAGCCTTAGCTATGAGGACCATACAACACTATACATTATTAGGCTGAGCCAGATATTCAAGGAGAGACAGCTTGGGAATTCATTAGCCTAATGGAAGTTCTCATACACAACTGGATCAATCTTAGCTTATGCCACTCTGATACCAGCCCTCAGATTTGAAGGGATGGTGTATGAAATGATTGATGTTGAGAAAGAAATCTCCTTTGATTTGATATTAATTATTTGTTTCTGTAAAATAATGTGGAAGGTATGCATGCACTTAAACATGTTCTCCTGAGCTAAATTTGATTTCTTCAATTCTTTAAAAAAGATGGAAGATATTGCTTCTTAGAATTTCTTTTCTCTTGGTCTTACCTATAACAAACTATTGCAACCTATATTGCAATCTAGTAATTAAGTTTAACATATTCGAGAGAGAGAGCCAAGTAGCACCAGTGGTCTAGTGGTAGAATAGTACCCTGCCACGGTACAGACCCGGGTTCGATTCCCGGCTGGTGCACTCTGATGAGAAGCTGTGATCAACTTTGCGCATGAGTGGTGATTGGGTCGCCACGATTTGTCTGAATATATATAAACTGTACGACTATCAGCGCATCTGAGCTTCCATCCTTTTGTGGCTAAAATCAATTTTGTCCTCAAAAAAATAGTAATACGGACTACGGAGTACTATTTTAGTAAATAATAATAATGTTGCATTATGTGATATCCAAGTTAGCACTAACTTCTTGTCTACAAGTAAGAATAGGTAAAAATAAAAAAGCTTCATTATTATTATTATTATTATTTTTTTTTTTTTGGGTAGTAGATGAACTTAATTGTGCTTTCATGAACAATTCAAGAATCTATTTAACTCTTATTGTTGTTTTTTACACATATGTATTTAAATATTATAGCTATTCTTATTGTTTATTTAATTTAAGAAAAATGGTCAACTATGCCCTTGAATTTTATGTGAAAAATAATTAAACTCCTAAATTTTAAAAGTTACAATTAAACATATTAACTTGTCAATTTCATATAATGAAACTAAATAGCAGTTACCTAAA